ATGCTGGACGTTAAGTGAACTCACACAAGTACCTCAAGTACTGCAGAAAACATCTCACTGAGCAGCTTTTCAGGTGTTCTTACCTGTTTTTCTGTCTCCTGTGCAGCATTAATGCATGCTGTGGTTTTTGGTAACGTGACCGCCATCATCCAGAGGATGTACTCACGTCGCTCCCTCTACCACACCCGCACCAAGGACCTGAAGGACTTTATTCGTGTGCACAGGTTACCCAAGGTGCTGGAGCAACGCATGATGGAGTGTTTCCAGACAACCTGGTCTGTCAACAACGGTATTGATGTCAGTGAGGTAGGAAGGATGACATTTGGTCTTGATAGTGCAGGAATCTAAGATAGATCTCAGGTACTGCTGCCCTGAGGCAAAAGTAAAACTCATAGGAGTGTTTGTGCATCCAATTCAGTGAATTCTAGATGGAAACAAACGTGAGACTGATCCTTTAACGTTCTCAAACGGACATGTGGCCTCTGTAGCATGGATTAGCCACAATGGGATAAAGTGGACTGAAAGTGCAGATGAGGTGACTTGTCCTCCAGGCAGACTAGAAAATAAATAAATATATATATAAAAAAAACACGGCTCCCAGTCATTGAGAGGATTTGGTTTTTGTTTGGTTTCTCTCACGCTGGAGCAGCCATCTTAATTTAACGGATTAATGGCCTCACAGGCTCTAAACTCACTCCTGGTGTGTTTTGCCACCAGTTGGTTTTAAATCTAGATAATCCTGTCTTTTTTTTTTAAGAAATAACATCATGGAGGACAGACGCTCTTACTTTGACATGACTACCAGCAACTTTCCTCCTTGCAAAGTTTTCCCCTTTTCCACATTACACTAGGCCTTTCCCTTTAGAAACCAGCGAGATTGCACGAGTGAGTAAATAAGCAAAAACATTTTAAGCCTTTAAACCTCTTGCTGAACATGCATGTATCAGCTGCTTGTGACTATGTGGGAAGGTGAAAAGGTTTTATTTTGGCTGTTACCTTCACCTTCCCACACATTACATTCAGAGGATGGTAGAGAAAGTTGAGAAGCCTCTAAAAGCAGCAGAAGTTGAGGCCGAGATTGAGCCATGTTCTCGTTCCGTCTTCAGCTGCTGAAGGACTTCCCGGATGAGCTCAGAGCCGACATCGCGATGCACTTGAACAAAGAGCTGCTGCAGCTGCCGCTCTTTGAATCGGCCAGCAGGGGGTGTCTGCGCTCCCTCTCCCTGATCATCAAGACCTCCTTTTGCGCTCCGGGGGAGTTCCTCATCCGCCAGGGTGACGCGCTCCAGGCTATCTACTTTGTGTGCTCCGGCTCCATGGAAGTCCTGAAGGACAACACTGTGCTGGCCATTTTAGGTAAAGAAAAACAAAATCAGCTCATTTTGACTACAAACCCAAACAGTTCAATCATAAATTATGTTTCCTTATTTTCTGACATATATACACTGTTACTATGAGAGACGCTCATTTTAAACATGACCAAAATTTTAAACCATGAGGTCGGTGTCCACACAAGTGATCCCTGTGACCCAAAAGCTTACGTTTATACCCTTGGCTCTGTCTTAAGTCATAGAGAAGGGTGATTTTTAATATGGTCACCTCAAGCATACAGCCCAGTCTGCCCACCTGCCGTTCAGACCCCCTGTTTGTGAGAGACTAAAGGAGTTCTTTATGTAGTACACCCATTCCCAAAGTCAAAAAGTCTGCAAGACCCTTAAAAACCAGGCAATCCAATGGGGCCACCCAATAATCAAACTCTTATCAAAATACTAATCTGATCAAAAAGTGATGTATTTCCTTGAAATGTCAGCAAAAAAGAACATAAATGGCAAAGGCGATTGGCAATAAACAGCTAATGCTACCCAGTCATATGCAAAGTTTTTAACCCTGGAGAACCAATGGGGTCAGATCTGACCCCATTGGTTCTCCAGGGTTAATGTCCAAGAGTCCAAGAATGAAAGTATAGAGTTAAATATAGGCATAAGAGGTAGGAATAGTTAATGTTAATGCCTAGAATCAGGTAAAAAGTATTAAGTACATGAGTGGTGATGCACCCTAGGGAAGTAAGTGTCGGAGCATTAGGCCTTGTGTCACGCCTGTCTTGGACTCTAGACCATAGAAGCTCTCCTTGATTTTGGCAGGAAACAGGCTTAAAAACCAGCATTTATCTGAGAGTGCACGAGGATGGAGCTAAAGAGGGCCTACAGTCATTTCTTTGTATGATTAATAGAGTTCAGTGAGCTTCAGAGGAAAAGAGCGCTGTCATTATTGTGTTCGTTGAGTGCCAGATAGCCGTCGTGGGAGGTTTGCTCTCGAGTCGAGTCATCGAAACCTCTTTCAGCTCTTCATTCGTGGCCATTGCCATTGCATGGTCTCTCTTTGTGCTGCAGTGAGAATTGGAAATTGAGTGAAATGTTTGCACAGAAAGATGACCCAAAGGTGATCCGGGTGAAACTAACAGTTTAGTTGCAGAAGCTTACATCAGCTGTTAGTTAAACAGTGGCGGCACTTTGCCAGCTCCGGTATGCCATTTGTGCACAAGTACAAATGTAGGGTTGCCCCTATAAAGTAATAATATTTCAAAATGCTGGAAAAATTATTTTTAGAGTTGTGATGGTGGCATATAAGGTTGCTTTTAAAACACACGGGAAATCAACCAAGTACCAAAGACAGGAAGACAAAATAGAAGATAAGGAATCTTCCTTTTTAATCTCATCTGCTTGCAAGCAAATATGTTTTGTCTGGTTTCAGTGCTGCGTGCAAAGATGGAAAAAGGCTGTTTAACACTAAGGTCGTTATTAGGTTTTCAAGATTTAATAGCCGGCTTTTATGGAGACGAACATAATTAAGAAGAGCGGCCCAGAGCTTATAAAACTGCAGTCATATTAAACCGTCCCTGTGGGCAACAATAAACACCCCATCAGATGGAAGATGGAGTGTGACCCAGGGATGGATGAGACCATTTGGGAGCACCCATAACCCCTAAAGCAAACCTATAAACAACATTAATGTGTGAATTAATGAATTATTCATTTCTCCACTTAGCTGCGGTGGAACAAGTTGTAGACATGTTGACATGCTGTCAGACACTTTGCACTATACGTAAACAGTGTCAGGCATCCAGCTGTTGCGGAGCGAGACTCGTCGTATCCGCAAGTATTTTATTGAGGTGAGGGCTGTTTGTCAGAAAGAAAAAAAGAGGCTAAAAAACTCTGGGATATGGGAGATAATCTGTGGCTTCAGGATGTTTGAGCCAATTTTAATGCAAAAAAGAAGCACAGAGACGGCAGCTTCACTTAAGAGCGGGGAACAGCTAACAACCTCAAACCACCACTGAGAATATTCCTGCAGTTTCACCTTTAAATTGCACCGCAAGCAGCTTGTTAAACAGCTGAAATCACCAACCTGGGTCAATGTCATACCGCCACAATAAGAGCCTCTCCAGGGTCTTGTCCTACAACACGTACATCGACACACTTTCCATTCCAACGTGGATAAAACAGAATACAGAATCATAAACACACTCAGGAAGTGGAGGTAGCAAATTAGCAACAATGTTTTTCATTTTAATGAGCTAACTGGTGTAAATAATAAAGTGACTGCTGCCTACAGAGGAGAGACAGCAAACT